TGCTGTCGCAAATGAGCACCAATTCGGCGGCTTAAAACGAGACGAGGGTATTCTCCCACGGCTCTGAAAGGTGAGTGCCCCAGTGGGCCAGGGTCAAGGTGTCAGCAGGGCTGGCTCCCTCCGGAGGCTTAGCGGAGCATCTGTCCCCTGACTCTTCCAGCTTCTGGGGGCTGTGGCATTCCTTGGCCCGTGGCCGTGTCGCTCCAGGCTTTAAGGCCGGCATCTTCGAAGAACCTCTGCTTGTCCTGTAACCTCCCTCTGCCTCCGTCTGATGAGGATCCACGTGACTGCATTTAGGGCCGACCCAGATGGCCCCTGATGATCTCCCTACTCAAGGTCCTTAACCTAATCACACCTGCAAAGTCCTTTTTTTTTTTTTTTTTATCCTAAAAGGACAGGATCAGGACATGGACATCTTTGGGGAGGTTGGCTAGTATTCAGCCCGCCATGAATGACCACCCACAGGCCCTCCCCCATCCCATGCTCCACCCACCAACAGGTGGCGTCTGTTTCCTTGCCCCTGGAATCCTGGGACTCGCTTGATCGGCAGAATGTGGCGGAAGTGACCCAAGGCCTTGCAGCTTCCACTGTGGCTCTCTTGGAACCCAGGCGCCATGCTGTTAAGTGTTTGGTTTGTCCAACTAGGGGAGAAAGGGGGGCCACGGGGAGAAAGCCAAGTGGCCTAGACCGCAGACAGCGCCCCCTGCTGGCCACCAGTGCCCGCGTCTTGCACATTCTAGCCCCAGCCAGCCCTGCCCAGGACGTTAAGAGCCACCATCAGTACACAGAATCTTGAGAATCCGGAGGCTATTGTTTCAGGATGGTTTGTTACCCAGCAACAGACAGACACACACACACACACACACACACACACACACACACACAGAGATTGAGAGAGAAAGACAGACAGACAGACGGAGAGGGAGAGAGATGTGTGGAATTAAGGAAATGGCGGTGGGGACAGGGTCAGAAAGAGACAGAGACCTTTCGAGACAGAGAGAGGGAGAGACAACCGTGCAGAGACAAAATACAAGGAGAGAGACAAACGGTCAAGAAGGACATGGGCTCCTGTCAACAGCCCCGTTTTCAGCAGACAGCCGGCACCAACTGTCAGCCCCGTGAGTGAGTCGCCTGAGACATCAGCTAACCGTAGCCTCAGCTGACATCTGACTGCCACCATGGGAGAGAGTCCAGTGAGAGATAGGAATTTGTCATTTTAAGCCACCAAGTTTTCGGGTGGTTTTTGTTACGTGGCCATAGACACCCAGAACAAGAAGCTTGGAGGGTCGGGGAAAGGCGGGTGAGGAGTAGGAAGTTGAGGGACGGGGAGGCCTCGGGCTGCAGGTTTATGTGGAGGAGATGGGCTAAGGACTTGGGGAACCGTCTGGAAAGATGAGGCTGAGGACATGTGGGTTTCAGAGTTAGGGGAAGGTTAGAGGATCAGGACTGGACCCAGCTGGGGGCCCTGATCTTGGAACGGGTGATGCAAAGGCCCTGGGGTGCGCTGGCATGAATTTCAGAGGGGATTTCATCTGGGACCTATAATCCGATCGGCGAGAGTTTCTGAACATCACCTCTGTGCGTTCCTTCAAACCTTTCGCAGAAGAGGCCGTGTGTTGTCCTTCCTCATCCAATCTCTACGCTCCCTTAAAAATCCTCTATGATCTTTTAGCACGATGACTCAGAATAAACACTACTTTTTTTTTTTTCCCCGGCCCTCTCGGCAGCTAAGTGCAGCCATGAGTTTCAGGTCTGGTCACTGAGATATAGAAGGATGTGGGTCCTGCACCCCTCCTTCTGGTTGGAATGATGCACTGGAGGTGAGCCATCTGGGACTAAGCAGACGAGGGCATACTGTGACTTCGTCAGAGCAACAGGACAGAAGAAACGCGGCCGTTTTTATCGTCCTCGTGAAATAGAATTTGCCATACCACACGTGGACTGTTCCACGAGAGAGAAATAAATCCATCTTATTTAAATCACGATTATTTTGGCTCCTTGTTCATCACATCTAGACCCCTATCTGACTACTATTATTAAAAATATTAACAGGAAGTTCTTACAAGGGCTTACACACAGCCACCCTCTCCGCGTTGCAGAAGTCACTGTTGCTTCTCGGGTTAGGGGTGGCGACACCCCAGGGTGCTGGGCCATCCCCGTCCGTGTCCCTACGCCCTGAACGCCTCCGGTGTCCCCTTTTCACACACACCCCCATCGCCCAGCTCTGTGCCACCTGTGTCTCGCCACGGTCCTCGCCCTCACAAGTCCCGATCTGACCACTGACCTGCACCCTGATCGGAATGCGTGCCCCACTGCATGGGGCTGTGTGAGAGCAGGGACAGGGGGGTCACCGCGGTGTCCCCAGCGGAGTGCCAGGCACAGAGCAGGCGCACGGTGGATAAAGTGACTCTAAGAATCTCAGGGGCTGGAGGAAGAGGAAAGACTTCCTCCTGGTCACCAGCGACGGGGGGACTCTGCATTTCTCTGTCCTCCTGAGGCTGTTTGCTCAGGAGGCGAGTGTAGGGGTGCGTGGGAGAGAGGGAGGGAGGGAGGGACAGAGAGAGAGGAGTTGAGAGAGAAATCTGAAAGTAAGCAAGCAGGAAAGTATAGCTATTTGCATCTAGTGAGCTCTTACTATGTGCTGGAGAGTATTCTAAAATATATATGTAAATATAATTACGTTATATTGACTTTTATATGAAATTATAATAAATCACATGTAATTATATAACGTATATAATTTCATGCAACAGCCCCGTGAAATAGGTCACATCAGAACCATTATCGTCTCCCTTTCTCAGATGAAGGCACAGCGTTGCCGAGAAAGCCAGTCGGGCTCTGCCGTCCCCACGACACGTCATTTAAGCCGCTTCCGAGCCGACGCCTTTGGGACTCCTTGCGTCCAGGTGATAATCGGGACACTTGGGGTGGGACGAAGGGGCGTCTGCGAGGTTCCTCACCTAGCCCACATCCCAGGCTCTGGGTACGCACGCCTGTCTCTGAAGCTGAGACTCCACTCTCCCTGTTCGTGGCCAGTAAGGCAGAAGTGCATCCTTGTCCCACGCTGCACCCTGGACCTCGACGTGTCTCATCTCTGCCCTCCCTGGCCGTGGGACTTTGGGCAGGTTGCTTCAGCTCTCTGAGCCTCAGTTTCCTCCCCTGAGGAGCGGGAGTGACTCGTAGGACTGGTGAATTGAAAGAGGCTGTGGCTGGGGGACTGAGCCCAGTGCCTGGCGTGGCGGGGTCTCCATGACTGCTAGCTGTCGCTGGCGCAGTTCGCACGCATGTTGGTCCCCCAGCTGCTCTCTCGTGCCCCTGCGTGCCGTGACCCCCTGCTCCACAGCTCTCCCCATCTTGGCAGGAAAAAGCCCGCTCGTACCCCACATCTTCCTCCAGCAACGCCCCTCTCTCCTTCGGGACTCTCCAAAGTGCGTTTGACCTGCTCTGACTCGGTTTCCCCACCTGCCACTCCTTCCTCACTCTAGATCAGCCTGACTTCTGCTCGAGTCCTAAATCCCAGGGTCCTTTCCTCTTCTGCATCCTCCTCTACCTCTCCGTGGCCTTTGACCCTGCCCACCACACCCTCATGCTGGGACTCTCGGCTTTAGGTGCCCCTGTCTCCCGGTGTCCCACCTACCTGTCGGGCAGGTCCTCCTTCGACAGGTCTCCCATCTTCCGTGTGCCCCTCCGAGACAAGGTCACGCCCCTCCTCACACTCCTTGGGCAGCCCCTCCCCCTCCCGAGGCTTGGGGCCAACCCCGTGGCCAACGAAACCTAAATCTCTTTCAAGTGCGGCCCCCTTTCGGAGCTACAGGTGTCCCCCAGATGCCGCCCCTTCCTGACGTCCCTGGATGTCCCACAGGTGTCTGACATCAGCATGTACTCACCTGAATCCAGTATATTCTTCAAGCCTATTCTTCCTACTTACCTCCACCTTTGTTCCCCAAGCCCAGAAGAGACCTCACTCTCTGGAAACTCTCCCCATTGCATCCCCTCCCCCCCACCCCAGACTGACTCCCCATCTTCCTCCTTCCTGCTCTGTGGCCCAAAAAGCTGACCGGTAGGTACCATGCCTGTCATATGTCTCCTGGCCTCTGGCTTCTGGTCGAGTTCAGCCAATGGCAGGTGTCAGCGGGAGACTGGTAGTCAGGAGGAGAGTAAGGTGAGGTGTTCCCCCTCTGATCCCCTTCTCTCTTGGCGTGGCTTGGGGTGCCTGTGCCTCTCTCCTATGCTACAGCCACAGGCTCAACGTTCAGGTTAACTCAGCTCAAACCTTCGAGCCCGGGGTGGTAACTGCTCCCTCTACTGTTCGCCCCGGGTACTGCACCTTCCCTCTGGTTTTCTTTAACCCTGCCCGCCCCTTAATCTCCTTTTCTTTAAACATCACCCCCACCCCCAAATAATAATAAACCTCTCCCCGGCTACTCTATTTAAGTGCGCCATCTCTTTCTTGCCAGAGCCGCGATCCATCCTCTCTCTAAGCCACCCCCTTCTCACCGTCCTCCAGGGCCCCTCCCCCGCTTCCCCCGCTTTCCCAGCTTCCTCCCGGTCTCCCAGCCTCCAGTCTCACAAAGTAGCCAGAGGGAACGTCTGAAAATGTAAATCAGATGATATCAACTGCCTGCCCCGCCCCCACCCCCGTTGCGATCCCTTCCAGAGATCCCCTCTGCTCTGTAGGATAAATTCCGAGCTCCTTAGCGCGGCCGACAAAGTCTCATAATTGGTCCTCCTGAGCGCTCTTCGCTCCCCGACCCCCCATACTTCATTCATGCTAAGCACTTGCACGGAAAAGCCGGCAACTCACAAGTTGGCACCCCCCCACCTCTGGTTTCTACTCTGTCCCCCTCAACTTCCTTTGCTTTGAGATTCATTGGCCTGGTTGCTATCACGCCCAGCCACATGGTTCTATGGAACCTTCCATCTGGTTTCTTGGTGGGGTGGGGGAGGGGGGAATTAATAATCGTTTCTGTGGATTATAAGTGTCCTCCACTTCCGTAGGACAGTCCACCTGGTTGCTTTTGGGGAGGATCCAGTTCACATATTGAATCTAGTGGCCCGCCGCCTAGTTTCTCTTAGCCCGACCGCCGTATTTCTCTGAGACCCCAGCCCCACAGGGTTCTCCCCGGGGGTTACCGGGGATGGAGGTGCCCAGGGCCACGAAGACCACGGCGTTGACGGAGTCCTTGAGGCCAACGGTGCAGCCGAAGTGGGAGGCGAGGTCGCCGATGAGGGCGGTGAGCAGGCCGATGACCAGGATGCAGACGCCGAAGCAGGCCCAGCCATGGCAGTACTCGGTGGGCGGGACGCAGGCGAACAGCACCTTCCAGAACACCGTCAGGAAGTGCATGACGTAGTCAAAGCAGGAAGGCAGCCGCTCCTCCCGGGACCCGTCCTCCTCCTCCTCCTCGTCCCCTGTGGGCACACGACCCGGCTGGGGCACACGCCCAGGACCCCCTCCTCACCTGCGGAGCCCCAGTTTTGTTCGACTTCCAGACAGTGAGTCCCATAAAGCCAACTCCTTTCCCAGAATCCCTTGGGGCTAGGTGTGGCCGTGTCGGCAGCTAAAAACGGGTACTCTCCTAGGCTCTCTTGCAGGTAGGAGAATGGACAGGCCTGGGTGAAAATATTTACCTTCCTGGAGAATTCCTTAAACCTAAAGGAGGCCATGTGCCCAGCTAAAAATATCTAGCTTCCCAGGATCTTTTGCTGCTAAGGGTGGCCCTGTCCCCAACTAAAAATATTCCTCTTCCTAGACGCCTTTACAGCTACTGACAGCCATGTCTGCAGGTAGAAATATTCGTTCCCTCTGATTCACCGCAGCTAACACTAGCCACATGCTCAGCTATAGGTACTCACTTTCCCAGGATCCTTTGCAGCTGGAGCGAGCCAAATACCCAGCTAACATTAGTCACTTGCCAAAATCCCTTAAGGCTAGCAACAGCCATGTCCTCGGATCAAAATATTCGCTTTCCCAAAATTCCTTGCAGTTAGTAGTCCCCAGCTAAAAATTTGTTTTCCCAGAATCCCTTGCAGCAGGGGCCATGTGACCCAGTCTGGCAATGAGACATAAACAGAATGTTTCTGGAAAAGCTCTAGCTTTCCTGATAGGAGCACTGTGTTATGGATGTGTTTTCTACACACACACACACACACACACACACACGCTTCTCCTACTTCGCCGTTCTGAGAAAGGTACTTGCTTTATTTAGGAATCCCCCCATCGACCCCGGCTCTCTAGCTCAGGCAAAAACAAAAAACAAAAAAAACAAAAAACCAAAAACACCAGGTCCTCCTCTTTCGAGTTCCCAGGATGCCCTGTGAAAACTCGTTCGTTGCGGATGGGTGGGGGCGTGGCTAGGGAAGCTCCCTGGCGACGAGTGGGGGCGTGGCTAGGGCAGCCTCGTGGACCTTCAGTGTGACGGGCGCTTGTCCGTGTGTCCTGCAGACTGGGGGCCTGGAAAACTCAGATTACCTGGTCTATTTCACAACTGCTGAAATCTTAAAGACCCTGTTAGCTCCCTCCTCCTGAATCCCAACTTCCCACGGGAAGGCTGTTTTCCAGGCAGAATTTCAAAGTTTTATGGCAACTTTTACAGAAATCACAGAGAAAAAAAGACAGCGACCGGTGCTGATGAACTGGTAGAGAAGGTCTGGATGCTGGGCTGATGCGTAACGGGACGACAGGACGCTAAAAACCCATGGGAAGCAGGCCGTTATGGGGATTGCAGGGTTATCCTCAGGGTCCCGGAAGTGGGCAGCACTCCGCACATCCCAAGTGTGTCCGCTGGGCAGGAAACATCGACGGTAAGAAAATGCAGATGGCCTACCAACAGATGGCTGGCTTCCAAAGTTAAAAATGCCCACCCAGACCCCCTGGTCCCAGTCCCACCCTCCCACCCGCCCCTGCTCCCATCAGGCAGAGATGTGGCAGCATTTGCTGGCTTGTAGCATTGGTCCTCTGGGACCCTCGGTCTCCTCTTCGAGGGTCCTGCCCGGATTGGCTGGCACTGAGGGCGAAATGAGCCTTCTAGATTGTCAGAGGAGATCGACTGGACTCCCTTTGATTCGTGGCTTCCTCCCCAAACCCGATTCTCACGGCTGGGGGAGTCTGCTGCCCTCTCAAGAGGAAAGTCTGTCACCCCCTTTCCCCAAGACATGCACCCTCCCGCGCCCCCCCTCCCCCAAACACACTATGTACACACACAGGCCCCCCTCCAAGGCGTGGCTGGGCTCTCAGAGGTAGTGGAGGAGAGTAGGGGCGCTGGAATGTAAGAAGCCGCAGGTCCCAAATGTGCCCCCTCCAGCTCTGAAACCCCAAACTTCTCCCCTCCCTTCTCCAAGCCTCGAGAATTAGCGTCCTCCCAAGGGCCTGAGTGGAGAAATCAGGGAAGGTATGCCTCGCCTTCGGGTACTCAGCCACCGGTCCCTCCTCCTCCCCCCTCCCCCGGGGACTGGGCGGAGCTCCCTGAAGGCTGGAGGAGGGGCTGAGATGCTCGTTATCCTGGGATGGGTCAGCCCCCTTCCAGGGTCCCCCAGGGAGGGCCAAGTTCCGAGGCCCTGGGGGCAGGGGTCCGTGGTGGTGGAGGGGTTCCCCTAGGGGAGGGGGGGCGTCTTATGGAGCGAGGCTGGGGGATACTCTAGAGGGTCACTGAGGGGAGGTTCTCCGGGGAAGGGCCTAGAAATGAAAATGCTCCCAGGGCTGGAGTTGAGGGTATCTTACAGGAACACCTGGGGAGACTCCCCAGGGTAAGGGGGAGGCTCTGGGAGGGGACAGAGGGCAGGGGGAGATCAATTCCCAGGAGGCAGGGAGGCCGAGTTCCAGGAGGCCGAATCTCTGGAGGGCGGAGGAGCAGCCGTCTCGGGGGGTGCAGGGGTGGGGGGACCCGGCCGAGTCTCTGCGGAGGGCGCTAGAAGCCCCGGATGTGGCAGTAGGCCTCGAGGCTGGCGAAGAGGATGTAGAGGAACCAGAGGCCCAGGAAGAGCGCCGTGGTGGCGAGCTTGGGGCCGCGCGGGCCGCCCAGCTCCCCGCCGATGTGCGGCCGGCGCCGGGCCAGCAGCCCGGCGATGCCCCCGAAGGCGACGGGTGAAGAGCGTG